AAATCCTGGGTCGTGAGTCGCCCGGGCCAACCAAGCCTTCCATCCCTCCGGGGTCGGTTAATTGGTACCAGACTTGTCTGGGAGGATAAAAACACTGACTTGTACATCGGCTGGCCCCCGCAAGTCATTGTATAGGCCACATCGCATTCAAATGTACAAATGGAAGTAGAATGCGTGCCGCATCCCAAAAAGGGATTGATCAACGGCAAATGCTTTATCCTTTTTATCCTTTAACAGAAGTACTTTCCGGAGAGTTAGGCAATCCTTGTAGTTTTCTGAAAGCGCACCTCAGGCACAATCAAAATCTACCTCAACAAGTCAAAAAAATACGTCCCAAGAAAGTTATTCCCCTCTAAAATTTTTTCTTCGCCGCGTCCCGTTCTTCCAGCGCCCGGGTGATACCTGCCGCGCTCCAAGGCCGACGCGACGACGCGCAGACGCTTTCTGGCGCAACGGATTCATGTCTAGCACTCTTATTAACAAAAACAGGGGGTCGCAACTGGACCCCCTCGAGAGCTAGGGGGTCGCAAAAATCCCGAAAATGTTCGAACGTGACGGTTGACCCTGGTTAGGCTGCCTCGTGTTTCCCTTCCACCGATGACCCTCAACTTCACCACAATCGCATGCTCTACAGCTTGAGGCGATCTTTACTGAAATGCGCAACAATGTGTGATACCCATCTTCATCAGGCATTGTTCAGAGGTTGCGATTAGCTGAGAGGGAACTGATATGTATTGATTCTGCGATGGTTAAGAAGAGGCAGTGAGCCAAACTTGTGCATTTACATTTTAAGTCGTCTAATCGCCTAAGTCGTCAACTTTTAATAATGCCTGAGTGACACCTGCATGCAGGCTGTAATATGTGTGGGAATGTGGTGGAGTCCATTCTAAATTCCTTAAATTTGCATAGCCCAAATTTTTACCACTGACCTTCCATGGGGAGGTGCACATACATATGGTTAAACTTTAGCACGAAGGTGCAGTAAAAACCATATAGTCTAAACACTCACGCCTCAAGTTCAATCTCAAGTAGTTAAAGTTTCCTATATATGTGTTCTTCCTTCCCATTTAATCTCCTACCAATTCTCGATCCTCTTTATTGACAACTGCTCCTTTCTTGGTTGAAGGCATATTTATCCTATATTCAGGAAGAAGAGAAGAGCTTCGAGGGCAGAACACACACCACTAGTGACGACGGCCAAGAAAAAAGTCACTTTTCTCGCTGTTGTCATTTGTGGTGTGTGGTCTGCGCTCAACGTTCTTCTCGTCTTCGGAAATAGAGGGTATACTTTACCATATTGAGTTTTTGTCATTATTTTGGTGTTTTTTTTTGAAGTGGCACCCACAGAATTCACCATTTCTGCCGCATATGATAGGGAACCGTGCGCGATGTATCTCGACGATGTCAAGACTATTACATGAGCAAAAGTCGTGGCGAGCTTGTAGCCTATGAAAAATGTAGTTGAATGGGTTGTATTTACAAGCATTAGCACGAGGGTGCAGTAGAAAACCATTTAGTATCAGCTCGAGTCGCTTGTTAACCAGGGAGAAAGTTTACCAATAAGCACAAGAGATTGAAAATATTCATAAAATGAGGGCGGAAGTGGTGTAGTGGCAAGTACGCTGCCTCCCCCGAGCACGGTTCCGGGATCAAACCCAGGATCGTGGGTCGTCAGTTGTGCCAAAGTCATACCGAAAATATTGAAAAATGCACACTCTTAAACCAGACCAAGTTTAAATGTTTATTTTACTGCATGAATTCGTCTCACTCGAATAGCGAGTGTTCTGTGTAGATTGTTATTTCAAAGAAATGCTCTCTGGTCCCGTCGCTGACATATCAAATGAGAGCTGATTTCAGGTGAGCGTGGCTCGTCCTTACGGCTTTGCTTCGCTCTGCACGATTCGCCGGGTGAGCACTGGTGTGGCTTTGATTTGGCTGATTTCCATTCTCTATGCCGCCGCGTTTGCTCCGCTTACAACTGTTATCATCGATCCAGCTAAAAGCAAAGACAGTGAGTAATTTGTCCCATAGAAGTCTGACCGTGTTCTTATGGGAAGGCAACCCTTGCCATAGCTTTACTGCGCTTCCATAGCGCTGTTCAATGTATCGCCAGTGTGACTTGCCAGCAAGTCATTCAGATCATGCCCTCAGTTGCCAAAACGGGTTTTTGCATTTTGTAGAGCACATGCATGGAAAATGTAAAGGCACATGCATGGAAAATAGGGCTATAATTCATTTCTCCTGAGCGCCCCTCTGGACGCCAAAAGAGATACGAAAAACTGGCCCATGGTTTGATTATCCTGGTGACAAAGTGTTGCGCTTTCGATAGGCGTTCGGACGATGAAATTTGCTTCAGTGGCTATGAGCGCATGCCCAATTACCATGAGGGCCACCAGTGATCCATGTGAGTTTCTAGCAAAACTGGTGCTAAAAGGTGTAGCACTCGTGCTTTCGAACCCCTTTTTGGCATTCAGAGGGAGCCTTAGGAAAAGACAATCATAGTCCTGTGTCCATGCATGTGCCCCTATATCATGCAGAAAACTAGTTTTAAGAAGCAGAGCACGCCCTGGAAAACCTTTCTGATTAGCTGGTTCTTTTTGCAGTCTGCACATATGGGAATTGTGAAAAACCATTGCTGATCGTGGCGATTGGCGTCATCGCTGTTTCTGCCATAATTGTGCTTACCTGCTACGTCATGGTTCTTTTCAATATGAAGGCGATTGCTTACCGTGAGAAGTGAGTGAATTTTGTATTCAACGCGCGTCGGCGTTCTTAATGGTTGTTTTCTTAGGATGCACAATGAGCCTGAAGTGACCAAGAAGAAGATGTACCGTTTCTTCTACTTCGGTGGGCATCTTGGGCTGTACGTCATCGTGTCCACATTGGTGCTCACTGGAGCCGCGATTATACTTCACAACGTCTATTTATACAACAAAATCAGAAACTCGATGAGGAAAGACTGTGATATCGTCGGAGTGAGTTTGAAATGGTTGCAGCACTTCACAATTTCCCAGTGAGGAAAGTCAGCACCTGAAAATAGCTCACAAGATGGTGTGGGCGCTGTTAGTTTCGCTTTCAGTGCTATTAATTTGCCGTCAGGAGCCATCATCTCAGCAGAGCAATTCATGCAAGTTTGCGAATCACGAGGACTAGTATTGTGTGGTTGCCAGTGACCACTAAAACTCGGGATGGGAATTTCCCAAAAGCTAGCTGTTGATTTGAGATTTTGATTGCTGTTCATTTTCCTGTTGAGATGACATAATGACTTTTATTCTCAGTGTTGCACCTAGAAAGAAAGCTGCAATTGAAAAGCACATGCTTGTGCTGTTGAACTATGTAGTAGTCACCAAAAACAACCTCGTCTCTCCTAGAAAGTGTCTTCATTGAATAACTCCTAATTGACAATAGCTTATGAACAGAAATGTGGAAGAGGAAAAAAAAGAAAGGAAAAAGAAAGGAATGGGAAGGGAAGAGCGCAAGGGAGGGTAGATGAATTTTTTCATTTTTATTTCAAACGGTGGGCGGGGCCCGAAGGCAAGAACTTCTTCCCACATATGACCTCGGAGACCTTGAAGTAGAATAGGAAAGTTCGAGATTCCAAACCCGAAAAATGCGTGAACAATGGAGACAGGCGAGTGCGCTTGTTTCGACAAGGCATCATCAAAAGAGTTCGGCTAATCTTACGGTCGATACCAGGTTGTATAATTGTTATTTGCCCACGTACGAAGAGGGGATAAGCGCGCGTCAAGCGCTTGTCTTCCATGTTGCTATGTCTCAAGCGTGTCATGGATTATGCCGTGAGTGTGTATCACCGGCACTACCTCTCCACCCGTTGCTCACCAAGATTTCTAGGCGGGCACCACTAACGTTTGTATTCGTCATTGTCGTGCTCCAAAGTGCTCATGTGGATCCTACTACTAGCTCGAGGGACACGCAGCTCATCATCACTTTCGTTGGGAGGTTGCCTAAAGAGGTCTGTTCATGTGGTCGGCGGTCCTCTTGGTGTTGTTTTGGTTCTAGTCCATAACCCCTCTGGTCATATAAACGACACCACTTGCCCAGCCGGACCATCGATTCCTTGGCTAGTCTCAGGACCATGGGAGTGTCTGAGTGTTCATAAAAATGAAGGCTTTCACTACGAAGATCAGAATTTCTGTACGAGTTCCTCATCTCTTTGCTGTTTCCTTTCACAATTATTGAGCCAAAACTCGTTATTTTGATATCTGACGTCCAAAGTGTCAGTTTTAGGGAAATCCAATCATGTATAAAATTCGTTCCAGTATATCGATACACTGATTCGCCTGGAGACGCTAGCTGGTGGCGTAGTTCTCCTGTGGCTAGTGAGGATTGTCTTCGACGTTGTGATTGTACTCTTGGCAGACTATCGTCGACTGCTTCCGTGGATAGCCGGCAATGACCCGCAACCGCTCAGAGACAACCAAGTTGGTTTAAAAAATTTCAATTATTCCTCTCACCATTACTGATTTCTTTGAAACACTGCTCTGCGAAGCCAGAGATGTACAGAATTATCGGAGCTGGCGCGTCATTAATTGCACAAATAAGTAATTAATAACTGTTCAGAAGAGGTTCAGTGTCTCAGAGTTCCTTTTTGTGAGCAACTCCCTATGCAGTTCACATTGCTGCTGTTGGCAGCACGTTTTTTATTGCACGATGATTTCGGCTCGCGCCAGCCCTTTGCAGTGGCAGAAGAATTGCTTCAACTGTCCAGTATTCAAGCTCGACAGCACTCTTCATCCGTGGGATTTCAAGAACTGAAGAAGAAGAAGAATTTTTCTACTTTTTTTCGTGAGATATGGTGTATAGGTCTAGTGATTTCCCAGTCATTTTTAAATATGGTCGTTTACGAATTGCAATTGTTTTTTTTTGATTCTTGGATCCCGGTGGAAGGAATATTTCGTTCGCTCACTATCATGTGAGATTCTCGAGCTTTACGTAGGTACCGTGTACCGAGTCGTCTTTCTTCGACATTTCTTTACCCTTAATAATCGACCGTCATCAGTGGCCTTGTTGGTTACGAATAAAATGAGTTGCATAAAGTAAAAAATTCGATTCAGTCTGCGAGAGCATAGGACTGGTTTAACGGTGCTCGGGGTTCAGAGTCCACCGTTCGTCCGAGTAGTGTGGGTGGGGATTGCCCTTGCGAACTCTGGAGAGGGGTCGCATTTGAGCTTGACCCAAGTTTACCATGGGAATCATTCGTGCTAGTTGAAGGGTCACGTTTGGAGAGAAGGAGTATTAAATAGTTAGTTCACTAGTTCTTTCAATGAGTTGTTTTTTCACATTTTCTGACGGTTCTGCAAAACGTCACGATAAAAGCGTGAATCTAACGAAATTTCCGTTCCTTTTATTTATCTTTTCTTCTTCTTCTCCCTAGCGTTAGTCCCGCGCAGTCGCAGGGTCCGCTGTCTTTATCAGTCGTCGCCACTTCGCTCTGTCCAGGGCATCTTCTGCTGTGGCCGTCACTTAGGTCCTTCTTGATTACGTCTTCCACCTCTTCTTTGGGGCTCCTCGCGGTCGCTTGCCTTGCGCTTCGAAGTCCATCGCTTTCCTTATCGGATGGTCCTGTGGCCTCCTTAGCACGTGCCCATACCATCGCAGACGCTGTTCCCGTACCTTCAGCTGGACAGGGGCAGTCTGCATGACCGCTCTGACATCCTCGTTTCTGACCCTGTCCAGTCGCGTCCAGCCGCAGGCCCATCTCAGCATCCTCATCTCAGCGGAGTGAAGCTGCCTTTCGTGATTCTTGTTCAGGGGCCAGCACTCGCTGCCGTATAGCATCGCAGGCCTTACCACTGTCCGGTACACCTTTCCCTTTGAGCGTTCTGGAGCACCTTCGATCGCAGAGGATTCCAGTGGACTCCCTCCATTTCATCCATGCCGCGTTGATTCGTGCCTTCACTGCCTGATCCACACTTCCGTCGGCTGCCAGATCGCTCCCAAGGTATCGGAAGTCCTCCACTCTTTCGATGGTCTCACCATGGCCGTCCACGATCGGCTCTGCACCCTCTTCGGAGCTCAGGAACTTGGTCTTCTTGACATTCAGCCGGAGCCCACCTTCTGCCAGGACTTTCTGCCATTTCTGCACCTTGGCTTGAAGTTCCTCTCTGCTATCCGCTATCAGGCGATGTCGTCAGCGTAGAGGATGGTCTTCAGTGGTCCTCCATGAGCCCTTCACCAGGACATCTAGTGTTAGGAGGAAGAGGAACGGGCTCAGAGCTGACCCTTGGTGCACCCCAACCGTGATGTCCACCTCCTTCGTTAGGCCGTGTGGGGTGCGTATAGCTGCCTTGGCTCCTTCGTACATGTCCTTCACCAGAGAGATCAGGTGTTCTGGCACGTTCGTTCCGACCTCCATAGTACTGCTCGCGGTAGCCGGTCGAACGCCTTCTCCAGGTCGAGGAAGGCTAGGTAGCAGGGTCGGCGCTTTTCTCGATACTTCTCCATCACTTGCCTGCGATGAAGATGGCATCCGTTGTAGACCTTTCGGGCATGAACCCGAACTGTTCCTGGGAGATCGGACCAGCTCCCGCAGTTTCGAGTCGACCAGGCGCTCGTACAACTTCATGGTATGCGCAGTCAACTTGATCCGCGGTAGTTGGAGCAGTCCATCGCGTCACCCTTCTGCTTGAAGATGGGGACGATAGTGCTTGTTCTCCAGGCATCCGGCATCCTTCCTTCGGCAGTTACCGTGTTCAGGAATCGGGTGAGCCATCTTATCCCGTACTCTCCGAGCGCCTTCCATGCCTCGATTGGCACCCCATCTGGACCAACCGCCTTTCCAACCTTCATCTTCCCTAGTTCTTGACGAACCTCATCCTCTGTCCATAGTGAGATGGGCCAGCCGTCGCCTCTGCTTGCGAGCTGTCTTTGTGGGGGAACTCCTCGTTCAGGAGCGCTTTGTAGTACTCCTTCCCACCTCCTCCTGACTTCAGTTGGCTTCCTCAGGATGGCACCGTTGCTGCTCTTCACGCTCTTCACCACCCTGATGTCTTGGGTAGCCCGATGCCGGGCTTTGGCCAGTCTGAAGACGAACTTCTCTGCGTTTTGGCTCTTCTAACTTCTCGTTTGTATGCTTCCTTCTTCTGTTTCACGACTCGCTGGACCTCCTCGTTCCAGAACCACGCTGCCTTGTCTCCTCTGAATCCACCTCGCGTCTCGCCCAGTACCTCCTTGGCGCATCGTAGGATGATCT